TGATTTTGTTTCATTTAATCATGATCGCTGTCATTATTATGCATTAAATATAATAAACCTCTTCCAATACAGCCTCATTTTATTCTTATGTAGTCAACTTGCTATAGTTTAAAATATAACTTAATTAAACTTAAGAATTGACTCTATGCCCAAAACGTAGTTATAGACGGGAATTTTAACTTTTTACAGTATCTAAAATTCATAGTAATGTTTCTGTCTTGATCTAGGCCTTGAATTAAGAGCATTCGTCCAACCACGCTCTTCTTCTACATTTACAAGAATGCCATTTGTATTTCACCAACAATGTGAAATATGGTGCTAGCAACTTACTTGAAAAAAAAATTCAGTTACAATGTAAAATACTTTTCAACTTTGTTTTAATTTTTGAAATTAAAACAATAAAATATATATCCAAAGTGAACTTGTAAGAGCATATTTTCTGGTTGTCTTCACTGTTTCACTTCTTTGCTTGCTGTAGGTTGATAAAACTTGCATATTTACACTATACAGGAAATTTATATTCTAAACTTCTGCAGGAGCGGATCCAGGAATTACAGTATTTCAAACTACAAGATCCAAAGTACATGAAATTCACTTTAATCCAGTCTACAACCTGTATATTAACCATTTAAGCTCCGGCTTCTCTTGATCAAACATGATTACTGAAACTGATGTGATCACAACTGAAAAAATAATTACAAATGTTATGGTTGTATGTAACTTATCAATAAATAATAAATAGGCTGTCTCCAACGCGTTATCATTATTTTAAAATCACTAAAAGACATATCATAATAACTTGGTAAACGTCCATAAAAGATTAGCTCAAGAAGTTTGGAAATCATGGTATTGTCTTGATGTTTAAAATGAGTATTTTCAATAAAAATAATCGACACTGTATATAGGTCGCCCATTTCCAAAATGTTAATTATTAAAAGATGACGCTCACTAAATTAATGTAGGCCTAAGTAGTCTAATCCTACATTAGACTTAGCGTACACCGTAAGCCTATAAAGCACTTAAGATATATTTTTGTTTCACTTGAGATGTATTTGAACCAATGAGCTTGAGAAAAGCAAATCAAAAGTCATGTCCACTTGTATTCCGCCCACTAGGCCTACTTACATACGTGGAATTGGCATGTTACTTTTTAAGAGCGCAATCTATTGTCGCGGTGCTATCTGTTTGTTTGTTTGTGAATTTCGCGCAAAGATACACGAGGGCTATCTGCGCTAGCCGTCCCTAATTTAGCAGTGTAAGACTAGAAGGAAGGCACCTAGTCATCACCACCCATCGCCAACTCTTGGGCTACGCTTTTTATCAATAGTGGGATTGACCGTCACATTATAATGCCCCCACGGCTGAAAGGGCGAGCATGTTTGATGGGACGGGGATTCGGTGCCATATGTTGAATGTTTTTGTATATCAGCCTGAATGGGTATGTTTCATTAACTCTAATAGTTACCATGAAATTATAACTATATTATTAATAATATATACAGATGTTTTCTTAAACACATTCGTGGATATACATTTAAAAATTAGAAAAAAATAATCGCTTTTGAGGAGTAGTTAGTATAAAAATATTTTTGAAAAAAAAAAGAGAAATTTGAATTTTGTGATGTCACAGAATCTCGAGTTAAAGTGTTAAAGTTCCAAAGTCAAAGTCTGCCAAAGAGAGGTAATAATTAATTAATTAAAAGATTTTGACCCAGCTCTTGAACATATATACAAACCAGTACGCAGAAAGTTTGAAAGAGGGGTCTAATTTGTGAGATCAAAAGCCAACACATATTGTGTAAAGCACAATCAGCGTGCTAATTCTACTGAGAGTCTGGGGACATGCGACTATTTTTAGTCAAAAAATGCTAATGCTTCACCACAAGAATGTAGAAAACGTTAAACACCATAAGCAGCTGCGCTATAACTATATAAGCACAAGTTTGTTTTTTTTACATCACAAAAATAGGGGTTTGGCCGAACCCCTTTTGCGTACATGCGTGATATATATATTACACATGGAACGTCTTCGAAAAACGTTTATAAAGAAAGAATAATTTGGAATTTAGCAGTATATCTTAGTTGTGGTCAGTAACTTAAAGTAATTTCCTGGAAAAAAATATTTGCTTTCCGCAAGCTGTTTTTGATTTTATAAAGTAGAAACCTCGTTTTTTTTAAATAATTAAATTATATATTACAATTTCAGATATTATATGAAAATTTTAAAAAGTAATATGTTGGAGTCGGCCATATCGGTATACGTTCATTTTAATGAGTGTCTAATTGAAAAGAAGTAATGCACCTTCATAAAAACTAAACGTTGTTTGTGAGATCAAAGGGTTATACCCACCTCTGAATTATGTAAAGCAAGATTTATATTTGACCGAGTTTCATTTGCTTATCATCTATATCTATAAATTGTATATTTGCAATGTCTTAGTCATTATTTGTATTATTAATATCCCACAAGATACGGAAAGAATTCACATTAACATGAATATATCAAGTGTGTCTTAACCATATTATTTTCAGAGACTTGATAATTTAAGTAACCAAGAAGAATCATTTACAACGGTTTGTTTTAAATTTCGCGCAAAGCTACACGGGGGCTATCTGCGCTCTAATTTAACAGTGAAAGAGTAGAAGGAAGGTAGCTAGTCAACACCATCCGCCGCCAAATCTTGGGATACAGTTTTACCAACGAACAGTGAGATTGACCTTCAATTTATAACGCCCCCATTACTGAAAGGGATGAATGTGTTTGGTGGGACGGAGATTCGAACCTGCAGATCGTGAGTCGAGCGCCCTGACCACTTGATTTACAACACATTGACCTTCAATTTATAACGCCCCCATGACTGAAAGGGGTGAATGTGTTTGGTGGGACGGGGATTCGAACCTGCAGATCGTGAGTCGAACGCCCTAACCACTTGATTTACAACAATAAAAGTAGTTTATGTCCGCTAAATATGTAGTTGATTTTTGTTTTCAGAGTTTATTTACAGTTAATGAAAGTGTTATCATGTATCAAAGCGAAGTTTAATTGTGTTTGGAGAAAGGAAATTATCCGAGAGTAATTTATGAGTTCGCCAAAAACAACAAGAATAATAATAGTTATCTGTACTCAGATAAGGTTCAGAACCAAGGGGTTGCCATTAAAGAGGTAAAACTGTTACATGTTTCCAGATTATTCTAGAGAGCTACTACTGCCTTAATGTATGTAGGGTTCATCTTCTTTCCAGAGATCCGTATCAGTTCATACAATCCGTAATAGACTACGTCACCCAGTATCTCAACTTTTCTTAAACACATACTCTCGAGCTTTTTAAGAAGTGTGAAATCACAATGGATCAATAAACCACAATTCACAGTCTTTCATTTACACTGCAGTCTAAAAGTTAAGGAACAAACACAGAACAGGTTTCTCGAAAACCCCTTAAAGAAATGTCATGAAAAGCGAGGTAGAGATGAGCTGTTATATAACATATGCGTAAACATAGAAAGGACATTATTGGCTTTGTTTTCATGACCATGGAGTAAAGAATCCCGAAATATCTCATCCCTTACAACAATACATGCTTCACTGCATTCGCTGATGCTGCAAGTAAGGTTATCCAACAAGCTGGGAGGAAACATATTCCACTCTTCTACGAGGATACATCTGAGCTCTTGGGGCGTTCTTAGATGTGGTTGATAACTGCCTGTGCAAAGCATCCCAGGCTTGCCCTGCGGGGTTTAGATCCGGTGATCTCGCTTGCCAGTCTATTCAGGCGAGGTTTTCACTTTCAAGCTATTGATCAACCAGCCCGTGTTGTCATCCATAAAACGAAATCAGGACCGAAAGGACCTCTAGAAAAGAAGAAAATACTGTCGGAGGATCTCATCTTTGTATCGCAGAACGGTCAAGACCTCGCCTTCAAACACGTATTGGCCATTTATCATGACACTTTCCCAAACCAGGACACCACCATCTCTGTAATGTCTCACTCCAAGGTATTTAAGGAATGATATCGAGTCTTTCTCTCTCCCTCCAAACCAGTCTTCGCCAATAATCAGTCTCCAGGCAGAATTTTGACTCAACCGTGAAAAGATCATTGCACCAGTTTTCTTGATCTCATTCCAGGTATTGGTGACACTAGAGCCTATCTCTAGGAGGATGTTAGCGGGACACAAACCAATGGGCGTTTGACCTCTCGTGAAGCCTTTTGGCTATGATCAGTCTCGATACAGACCTTCATGCAGCTGCTGATAGCTCTCGTGCGAGTTGGCCATCTGTAATGGTTCAATGGTGTCTAGCTTTTAGAACCGGATAACGGTTGTCATGTGGCTTTATGATGACCTTGGACCGTCTCCGGGCAACGTCTATTGTCTCCTCATTTTAAACATTCAACCTACCTTTACCCATCTTCCATCCATCCTACTGCTCTCCACCACAGACTGTCATCCAGACGATGCTTTCTTGACATTTCTTATGATGAATATCTACAGGAGAACCTGATATCAAACAAATAACGAGAGCGGGATCTGAGCGCTTTTTGTGCGTGCGTAGGGAGCGTAATGAAATATGTTTACAAATCACACAAAGAACATCTGTAAATGCTCACGTGAGACTTAAATTTTGTTGATTACAATCAAACAGTAACTCGATTGATACTAATCTGTATTGTTTTTGTTAATGACCAAACTGTATGGACACCAATGTGCTTTAAGTTTGATATCTTTGATACTTGAGATAAACATCGTTTTGGTTAGACTAGACTGAAATTATAAGTGAAGCTGATCTATATTTATGATTCAATCGACAAATTGAAAGATGTAAAATAAATATAACATTGTATTATCTTGTTACAATAAATATTTGTTACTACAAGCTCTATCTTACGTTGATGCTACGTGGTCACATTAATGAACTAATAAACTCTTTCCACATCATATTTACAGTGTATTTTGTTGAGAATATTTTCAATATAGTATAATAACTCGTGTGTCCATCTCTCCAGCAGGTGGTGTGGGATTTCATGCAACTGATACGTTATGGACAGCGGAATTATTCAAGGGTAGGTAGTAAAACTAACTACATTTTTTCACGTAAGTCTGTCAGTCTTAAGATATTGTAAACTTCCCAGTCCCTACAGCTTTCGACAAGCTAGTCAATACTGTGCACAAGCTGGCAACCATCACTCCCTGAAGAGTTCTCATGTAAAGGTTTTAGTAGCCGGGACTCCGTGTAGGGAGAAGTTATCAGCCAAGGATGTTCCGTCGAAAGCAGATTTTTCACTGAGACAGAGTTCTGTATTTTGGCGATATGACATTGCATTAAAAACTGGGGATTTAAACGATTACTCCATTTAGACGGAAGGCCTCCGTTTATCACAGCTAATCGAGGCGCGGTGACAGGCGAGCGGCACAGGGCACGCGGGCCGTGTGACGGAGATGGACGGCACGCTCGGCCGAGCCTGTCACAGAGTCCCAGCCGCTAGCACACTGATAGTTCTCTTTTAAGATCTGAGAAGGTTTTTACAGCTATTACAGCGGTTCTTTGAGCTTCATTAATAACCTCTAAACAATGGGGAAATCTCGGCGTCAGCTGGCTCAAGTTATCCGCAGATTTCTTCGATTGCTACTAATCCTCCGTAGACGCAACTGGAGGACCCGAGACGCTTCCATGACGGTTGACAGATGGTGGTAAATTTGCAGACCATTAGCATTTATGGATGCGTTTGATAAAACCGAAGCTACCACAGGCGGTTGAGTATACATCGTTTATATTTCCTTCATTGTATTTTTTAGATGACTCGAGAGAGAGAAAGCCTTTCAAGAGATCTCATCTTTAACTTGACCTGTTGACGAATTTCTGGCTTAAGTGAAAGCATCTTTATGGAAAAAAAAATAAAAGTAAATGGTACTTTTTAAATTTGTAGAAACTCAAAAAGTCAATACAAACCGAGGAAAAAACGTGTATGTGATTCCAAATGGATTTCTCTAATGTATATACGTACAACTTTGAAGTCCATTTCAAATTATCGTGTATCATTCGTACATCACACACACACAAAAGAAGAGTGAAATGTATATGATAAGGATATCGTTGTCTGTATACTTATAAGCTGCATCTCGCTTGTGCATATAACTGCATAAATAAACTGAAGAGCTAGTCTACCAAAGTATTCAAACGTAATGATTGTTTAAAAGTTTTAGATATCGGGATTCTTCGAATCTTATATTAATCCTTTCTCTATAGCGTGTCCAACTTGGACAAGTAAATTCCATATTTTTTTTAATTCTTCATAAGTTTATTGAGGTTGCTACTACTAGAGTAATCCGTGTATAATCTATGGTATACAAGTTCTCTTTTTCATTCAACTAAGCCTAGCACCTTAGGCCTTTTTATAATGCCAAATATTTTTTTTTCACTTTCACTATCACATTTGCTTAAAAATACTTTTAGCCACTGCTGTATTGTTTTAACTTTAGTTCTTCTTCAAAACATAATGGAACCCTATTTCTATAGATTTATTATAATACACACTCGGTTTGTTACTAAAAAGTTGCTCAATTGGTCAAGAGAGTAATTAGCAGATCGAATAAATTAAGGAACCTACAAAGTTTTTGTTCTATATTTGTAGTCTAAGAAACGTTTATTTTACACGAACTTATCAAGCAAACTACACTAAATTAATTGAGATTTGCTATCTGTTAAGCTTTTTTTTTTGCGATATCATTCATTCGAAATATACCAAATTATGTTTGCCTACAATTTGTATAATATAAGTGCAAAATTGTCACCGGGGCGCAGATTAGAACAAATAATAATGGAAAAACGTAGGAACTTCAACTATTTTAGTTAGTAATTATTTCTAAAATATTTCTAGTAATATGTATATATATATATATATATGTGTGTGTGTAATTCAATAAAAAAAATACGTCACCTCTATATCAAAGTTGATAAAATTATTACAGTTTAGATAGCCCAGAAAATGCTTCAATATATTAAAAATCACTGTTGGAAACAACTGATAAACAGAAATATTAATGTGTGAAACGTTTTTAGTCTATGAACTTAAATTAGTTAATTCCCTGCGTTTGCTTTTTTGACATTTCTTCATTTGTCCTAGTGTCAATTGTTTGAAAGACTCAGTTGAAATTGAATGCTAATAATAATAATACAAGGACTGCTCGACGATCCTTTTGCCCCCCAGTGGCACAGCGGCATGTCTGCGGACTTATGACGCTAGAATCCGGGTTTCGATACCCGTGGTGGGCAGAGCACAGATAGCCCATTGTGTAGCTTTGTGTTTAATTAAATGAACAAATGAATGAGCGATCTTTTATAAATTTCTCATAAAAGTACAAAATTGGAAAAAAAATATTTTTTTCTACCCTGCTGTGTTGATAATCTTATATATATTAAGTAATAAAATATAAAGTCATATGTTTTTTGAACTGTTGAACAAGATTAGATCAGTCTAAGTAGTGCATTCAAGTTGTATAGCAAGAAAATCAAACGCATTTTATAATCTTTATAAGAAACCCCATCAAAGTACCAGAAACAACTACATATTTCGTTATAACATAATTAAAGAGATCTTAGTTACTTGTAATGTATTATTTAAGAAACAATGAATTTTTCTTACAAGTAAAAAATGTTACGGACAAATTCTTGTTTGTTTGTTGTTAAACACAAAGCTGCACATTGGGCTATTTGTGCTATGCCCACTGTAGGACTTAAACCCCTAATTTTATCATTAAGCCCATAAGCTTATTCTTGAGCCACTAGGATCCTTGAACCTGGTTATTGAAATCAAAAATATTTCACCGGATAGCAAAAAAAAAAGAGTAAAAAGTGCGTTATTTTGTACTATATATATCTTCTTTATCTGCGTTTTTCAGTTGTGTTTTCAAAGATATCCAATAGCTATCGAATGATAGATTTACATTAAATCCGCTCAATGACACGAGAGATTCCAAGGTTAATATATCTATAGCATATATATATACGTGGAAGTAAATTACTAAATAATATTAATTATTTTAAACAAATACCAGAAACTTTAGGAATTCAAACTACACGAACTTAATTTATTTCTCTAAGTTTTCAACAAAGTATTTCTACTTCTCTCAAAAGGATGCTTAACGAGTATGTATTTGCATTCTGTTTTCATAATACATTACTATAAATAAGTTCCAGCCTATAAATTTCGTCTATTCATTCTTTGTTTATCGAAATTATCAGAAACAGACGCAGTAAATACCCCAAACGCTCATCAACTTGCGACCAGGTTGCACTCGCATAAACAGAAGTTATGTAAATTATGAATTACCGTCTGTCCTTCTTTCAGTTCTTGAAACTTCTTAACAAAGGTAAAACATTTCATAAGGTATGATTTGACGCTAAGGTTTATTACTCATAGCAGGATGGGAAATAAAATAAATTGTATGTTTACTCACGTATATTGAAACGTTTTGAAGTTGTGTAGGAACGTAACACATGGAGACAGTATAAACAAATTTATTAGTTCCATAAATATGCTCGAAACAGGCAATTACATAATTATCAAGCTCTTGTCGCTGATATTCGAAGCTATCTAAATATTTAAAACTATATATATATACAGTTTTAAATATTTATATATATATATATCAGATACCCCCTCCAGTGACTCAACGGTTAGTTTCAAGGATTATAACGCTAAAAATCGGGTTTCGATGCCCACGGTGGGCTGAGCACAGGTAATTCATTGTGTACCTTTGAACTTAGCAACAAGAAAAAGAATCAAATGCCATTACTTCCCTAACCACACAATAGAAGTACGCTGGAAACAGGAATTATATGAATATAGCATTAATATAGCTACTATTCCATATATGTTGGCTTTTATCTAAACATTTTAAATTATTCAGTAACACAAATGAAACGGGTTGGTATGATAATTTTGCAAAAGAAATATTTGTATAATGCAATATTTTTCAATTTTTTTTTATTGGACGTGCAATAGTGAAACTAACTATGGAAGCATACAAGCGACATACATACAGGAGTCACAAACAAAACGTACTGGCAACTGGACAGTGAACTTATTAATGGTGCAAAGATTTTCATACAAAACGCAAAAGTCAAGCGAATAAGTTTTGTTTTGTGTTTTAGTATTTTGTGGTGATATCTTTGCGTTACCCAAAGTATTGCACCTTGTTTTCATGCTGCCAATCAGTTTATCAAGGTACCGTTGTTCTAAGTATCCTATATTACTCCCTACATTTCATCTGGGCCCGGCATGGCCAGGTGGTTAGGGTACTCGACTCGCAACCTGCGGGTCGCGGGTTCGAATCCTCGTCACACCAAACATGCTCGCCCTTTCAGCCGTGGGGGCGTTATAATGTGACGGTCAATCCCACTATTCGTTGGTAAAAGAGTAGCCCAAGAGTTGGCGGTGGGTGGTGATGAC